TACCCGCGACCATCGCGCATGACCCTAACCATGAGCACCCTATCGTCTTGCCCCATGCCCATGAACATAGCAAGCTCTCTGGCATTGTTGCACAAACGCAGGCATAGAGCCATTCGCTCCTCACCTGATAGAAAGTGAAAAGTATGAAGCGTATCCATTACTTCTGTCATCTGAGCCTGTGTTGCTTGCTCGTTCGCCATTCTGGTAGCGATTTCAGCCAACCGGCCATCTGTGTTTTGCGAGAAGGTTTCCATTACATCGATGAAACGTTCGTCCATCAAGTTAGTGGACCTCATTTTTGTTCCTTTCATCCTTCCCCCTCTACTGGAGCTACTTTCAGATGCCGTACCCGACGACTGACCGATATCATTGCCCGGGCTACCATCATATGGTGTGCGCTACGTGGTCTGCAATGGGATCTCATCATTTGCTTCGTAAGGTGGGTCCTGCTGGACATCCTGAGCCGCATCTCCGAAAGCCTAGGCATTACCCGAAGATTTCAGACCAATCATCTAAGTGGGGGAAAGACTTGTTTTTCAGTCCCTTTGCATTAGGATCAACCTATTGGTCATGTTTTGGGGAGCAAAAAATGTGATGAGGATATGTAAATTATGTGAAATATATAGACGAGTCAATGTTGGAATGTTTACTACAAGCAAACCTTGAAGCCAGGAAGCCCACTTCTCATCTTCACAGGAGAAGCTTTTTGAAATATCATTCCAACCCATTCTCGAGTTGTTTGCTTTTAAAAGGGCCAGACTCGCATAAGTTTTCTTCCAGACATGCATTTTGGAAGATATGTGCGGCTGAGCACGGATTTCACATCTTGGAAGAAACTTCTTCATTTTCTTTTCCAAAACAAATGTGTATCCCGTTCTGAAGCCGTTTTCTGTTTTCCAACCTCGACTACAATCTCCTTAAGAGCATTAATTAGGGCACGCTCTTCTGCCGATGTCCAAACACGTCGTTTTGAGGTGGAGCCGCCCTCTTTCTCGGTATCCGATGTAACTGACGGTTCCATGACAAATATCCTGTTGCGACAATAGTTTTGTAGCAAATTTTTTTATATTATTTTGGATAATAGAGACAACAACAACAACAACAACAAAGCCTTTAGTCCCAAGCAAGTTGGGGTAGGCTAGAGATGAAACCCAAGAGAAACACAAAAGACTCGAACCAAAAGAAAGAGATCGAAAAGAGAGAGAGAGAGAGAGAGAGAGAGAAAGGAGCAAAAGTCACGATTCTGGCACGTTTATAGCGAGCCTCCAAGCGCTCCTATCCACCGCTAAATCCTTGGAGATATTCCAATCTTTAAGGTCCCTCTTAACCGACTCTTCGCAAGTGAGTTTAGGCCGACCTCTACCTCTCTTAACATCCTCGACCCGCTGTAGAACTCCCCTACGCACCGGTGCATCAGGAGGCCTCCGTTGGACATGTCCGAACCACCTCAGTCGATGTTGAACCAATTTCTCCTCAATTGGGGCCACCCCGACCCTATCTCAAATATCATCATTCCGGATTCTATCCCTTCTTGTGTGTCCACAGAACCAACGCAACATGCGCATCTCTGCTACACTTAGTTGTTGGACATGTTGCCTTTTTGTAGGCCAACATTCAGCACCGTATAGCATCGCCGGGCGAATCGCCGTCCTATAGAACTTACCTTTTAGTGAGTGCTTATTTATTTTCTATTGGTGTTTTTGCCTTTGTGACACCCTCTTATCACAGAGAACGCCCGACGCCTGACGCCATTTCAACCAATCGGCTGCAATTCTATGCCTAACATCAGCATCAATGCCGCCATCCTTTTGTAGCATCGATCCCAAATACCGGAAAGTCTCCTTCTTGGCCACCACTTGCCCGTCAAGGGTAACGTCACCATCATCATGTGAAGCCATGCTGAAAGCGCATGTCATGTACTCGGTCTTCGTCCTACTAAGTCTGAAGCCTTTCGACTCTAACGCGTCCTTCCACAGCTCCAACTTCCTATTTACCCCTGCTCTACTCTCGTCAACTAGCACCACATCGTCAGCAAAGAGCATACACCAAGGGATATCACCTTGTATGTCCCTTGTGACCTCATCCATCACCAAGGCAAATAGATAAGGGCTCAATGCTGACCCATGGTGTAGTCCTATTTTAATTGGGAAGTCGCTGGTGTCGCCCCCACATATTCGGACACATGTCATCGCATCCTTGTACATATCCTTGATGAGGGTAATGTACTTAGATGGGACTTTGTGCTTTTCTAAGGCCCACCACATGACATTTCTCGGTACTCTGTCATAAGCCTTCTCTAGGTCGATAAAGACCATGTGCAAGTCCTTCTTTTGGTCCCTATATCTCTCCGTCAACTGACGTATTAGAAAAATCGCCTCCATGGTCGACCTTCCAGGCATGAACCCAAATTGGTTTTGGGTCACACTCGTCACTCGTCGTAGGCGATGCTCGATAACCCTCTCCCAGAGCTTCATCGTATGTCACATCAACTTAATCCCACGGTAGTTACCACAATTTTGGATAATAGAGAATTTCCATAAAAAGTATATGAAAAATGCCGTCAAACAAAATGATGATATAATGCACAGGAATAAATATATAGAAAAGCCACAAACACAAATAAACAAAAAATTAAAAATAATAATTATGATAAGAACATTTTTCACAATTATTTATTTTTGAGAAGATTCTTATGAAAGTACGCATTGTGTAGAAAAAATAATGTTTGTTTATCCATTAGGGAACACCGCACTGCCATTCTGCGAACATTTGTTGGGCTAAGAGGTCGCGCTTCTGGGTCCATTCGTGGTTGCCTACAACTTGATCTATGTAGTCGTCGTCACACGTTGGGTTGGAGGGTATAGGGAATTCTGGAATCTCATTCTCTATGGGGTCTTCGTGCATTGTTTTACGTATAAAATTGTGAATAAGCGCGCACGCCATGATAATGCAATTTTGGGTCCGAATGGGGTAAAAAGACTTACTCCTAAGAATTTCCCAACGCATTTTTAGAATGCCAAAAGCACGTTCAATCGCGTTTCTAGCTTTGGCGTACCGAAGGTTGTAGAGTTCTCTAAAGTTTTGTGGAGCTCGGGAGTCTGTACCTCATTCATCTAAGTGATATCTCACACCCCTATATGACGCTAGAAAGCCAGGACCATTAGTGTAACCACCGTCCACCAAATAATAGTTCCCTGCGTTTTAAACGATTGTGTTATGTTTGATTTAATGTTTTTCGGCTGGGTGAAATTTTACATATGTAATGTTTATAAATAGGGAGAATACTGTTTGGGACTCTGAGAGAATTTGCCCTAGTGATTGCATCTCTCAGTACTCAACTATCCGCAGCGGATCCCTCCCAGCCACAAAGCATGTAGACGAAGTTCATATTTCTATCGCACACCCCAAGTACATTAACTGCTACTTGTCCCTTTCGATTTCTATATCTTCCCTTATCTTTTGACGGGACTTGAACGTTAACGTATGTACAATCTAGTGCTCCTAGACACCCCTAACAAAAAAAAAATAAGTATTAGTTTGGAAGAAGTATAGAAGACAAAATTGACTAAGCGTTGTTAAGGGTCTTGTGGTCTAGGCTACCTTGAACAATTTCCACCTTTCATCTGAACAATCATTCTCAACTGGGTTAGGTGTGGCGGCTAGGTCGGTCTAAAGGCGGATTACCGCATCAAGTACACGGTTAAAGTACTTGCTTATAGTTCTACCTGATCTCGTAAAATCAAACTTCAACATGACGTTTTTCTTGTGATGTGCGAGGATTGAAAGAAACATAGCAACTTGTTCACTCGGTGCAATGTTTCTAGATTGAACAAGACCCCCTTTGTTTTCAAGGAGGAAACAAAGGCGACCAAAACAGTTTCTGTCCATATGGAGGTTCTCAAGGCAAGTGGTGTCACTGACGTTGACTAGCCTTTGAATGTGACTCACTTGAAGGGGCACTCTATCCCTCAATCGGTATGTGAGTCCGCTAGTTAACGAACGTCGACGGCGGCGAGGGAGAATGAATTTGTGGTAGTAGTAATTAGCTACTATGAAAAAAAAACGAGCACCAAGAACAATCTCTTCCAAAAGAGTGTGAATTAATAATTTGTCTCGCACGTTATCCATCTACAAAGATTGAAAAATATACGGACTTCACCCATTCAATGATCTTAATGTTTCCCTTTACGAACATTGTGAAATACTAAAAATCTCAAATGGTGTGAACATGAGCATGTAAGATACATTTATTTTTGTTAAACTTGGTTCATATTTTTTCAATGTGTGTCAACTCTGTGTAAGTAGTAGACATTATGGAGAAAGGAAGTGTTGAATTATATTCACAACAGACTACAAATTAAGACCCCACAGTAAAGTTTGGTTTATTATGTTCTGTGCAAGGATACACTGACATGTATATTATACCCACATGAATTTTAGACAAGTCAGTTTTGGACAACTAAAGTCAACACATTCAATTTAAACAGGGACAAGTAAAGTCAGCACATTCAGTTTTGGACAAGTGAGTTTTTGGACAACTAAAGTCAACTAAAGTCAGGACAAAGAGACATATTGAAGAGCCACACAATTCTCAGCATCAACTAATTTAGGCTCCAAAAATGTAACTAATCAGCACATTCTGAACATCAAACCACACAATTCAGCCAACAAACATAACAATAAGTTTAACACAAAACAAAACAAGGCATAATAAACCACAAAAACAAGCTTCTCTTTTGCTATATGAAATTTTATAAACTATTGGGGCTTCCAAAAAGGTTAATAGACCTCTGAAATGGAGCATAAAGGCAGCATGGAAACTACACTTAATATAGGCTTAGAACAGCTCACATACCTCATACCAAAACCAGGCCAAGCTTGGTATTACTCATGCTCTTATTTTCAAAATTCTTAATAACTCTTAGCAAGCATGCACATAAGACTTTTGACTGACCTTTAATACCTCAAAAACACATATTTTCAGCACAGAAATGACATACAATAGCAGCCTCAGAATCATAAACAACACAAGCTTCTCTCTTTAAAAACATAATATACTAGCATGCAACCTTCACCTTTATGGCTGAAACTTGACACATTTTCAGCCTCAGAATCATAAACAACACAAGCTTCTCTCTTTAAAAACATAATATACTAGCATGCAACCTTCACCTTTATGGCTGAAACTTGACACATTTTCAACACAGAAAAACACCAAGAAAAACTGAACACATTTTAAGAAAATTGAGCACATTTGCAATTAAATCCACACTCAACAAGTGTCAGCAAGTTCACAACAAAATGAAACCCAAACCACACAACATGCCTTTCCCTTTTCTCTTAAACTTTAACCACACTGACCATGCTTAAGAATAAAAATTTGTGGCTAAATCTTAACTCCTTCAAACTCATAAAATCAGCATGGATACATGATAAAACGAGGCTCAGTAATTCATCAAATCAAGCAAGGCAAAAAAGCACAGAACATGCATTCTGTTTCACAGAACTCTGAAACACTTAAACATGGTTCTCAACATTGTATATCACTGAAATTTAAGCCTTAAAACTCATAATTTTACAGCATGTGAAATCAATGAAAAGAGTCTCGGACATTATATCGAAAACGAGGCCAAACAGCAACAACATGGTTTCCTTTTCTTAAACATCTAGCATGCTTTTAACTTCATATTGCAGCAAATAAAAGCTTTTCTAAACTCATCAGTGCAACATGGATTCAACATAAAAAAATATAAGGCTCAACATCTTAAGAATCTGAGCCATCATAAAATAAGATACAATACTTCTCTTCTTTGTTTGAAATTTCAACCAATACATACTCGGTTTATATCAGTTAACACCTTGGCTCTCAAATGTTTGAACTGCATTTGGTGAAACAATGTGCACATCAAGTACTAACATAATAAATTAATGCAGCAACAAAAAATGTTAACCATTTGCAGCAAATTTTCTTATGTTAAGATGTTTACCTTCACCTGGCACGGAGAAGAACAGAGATATTGGCGATTGGAGATGAGTCGTCTTCAGAGAAACAAACATTTTGAAAAAAAAAAACTACAAATTTCAAACAACAAATTAGGGTAAAATTGAAATGAAAAAGGTTAATATAGCGATTTTCGAGCTCACCTTTAGGCCCGATGGAGAATCCAAGCTTACAGCTTCACCTGGACTTGTTCGTGGTCGGTTCTGCAGAAATTAAGGCAATCCACAATATTTTGACAAATGGACATAAATCGAAAGTGAAAAGGTAATATGGCGATTGTGGAGCTCACCTTTACACCCGACGGAGAATTCGAAGCTTACACTGGCTGTCTTCGTTTCTGCAGAACCTAGGGCAAAATGCTCGACTTCAAACTTTGTTCCACGAAACTTGTGACAGACGATAGATGGAAATAAATCGAAATTGAAAAGGAAAGGAGCTCACCTTTAGGAATCGGAAGCTAGGTTAAAACCGAGCTTAAGCTTTGTTCAACAATGGCGTAGCGTCGCTCGTCTCTGCACCTAGGGCAAATGGCCGATTTTTGCATTTTATTGGTAACAAACTTGTAAATCCATACAAAACAAGGGTTATTTTGGTCTTTTCGCGTCAAAATCTGAGGGCAAGAAAGGTATATTGATGGCGGGATTTTTTTATCCGTGGGGGGAGCCGGGATTGAAATTGTCCCTTAAGAGCCGATAGGCGCTTGCCACATGGGCGCCAGGTAACTATATTCCCATCCCATTCCCGGTAAGTAAACGTAGGATAGGCGGGATTATTTCACTTGTCTTATCCTATCCCTTGAAGTAAACGACACCTAGAATGAATATATTATAATTTAACATGTTTTAAAAATATAAATATTGTACTATATAGCATGAGTCATGGGAAGATTTTGGAGGAGATGGTATTGATTAGAGTCTCAGTTTCGATACCCATACATTATTTAATAATGATAAAGAGGCTATTGAAGCTGCAAAAGACTAGACAATATTGAATGGTTTCCTTTTAGTAATTTCGAAACACAAAAAGAAAACGGTCAAGCTTTTGAAGTGCCATAGAGGCGAACGCGAGGCAAAGGTAGAAATTTCAGAAAGACAAAAACGAATAAGTGCAATTGCCCTTTTGAGATAAAAGTAAAAAAAGTTCCAAGCGAGCCATACTGGACGATCTGTAGATGTAGCAAGGAAGAGAAAGGTTACCATAACCATTCCTTTGCTGTGTATCCTGAGGGTCATCGACAGTTGAGCGGCCTCAGTGCTTCATCTAAGACTATTATTCGTGATATGACTGACGCTCAGGTGGCCTCGACAAAAATTATGGCCGCGCTGAATGAAAAGAATTCGAGAGACAACCTTGATCGGCGACAGGTATATATATTTATATTTTGTAATATATGTTTTAATTAACTTTTTGAAGTTAATTATGATAATTATTAATTTTTTTATATCTAAAAGTTATTGTAATAATTAATAAATTTTATTATATTTAGTAATGTATTATTATTATGATAGTTAATAATTTTTTTATCAAATAAATTAATTAATATACTTTTTTATTTATTAATATAATTTTTTTTGTTTTAAATTATAATAATCATTATAATTAACGCTAATCGGTGACAGGTATATAACTTTAGAGATAAGCTGCGGAAAGAGAGTTTCGAGGGTAGAGACGTTCCTTCCCAGCTTATGCATTTGGCCATGGGAAGCCAATATACAGTTTATGCAGAAGACGATCCGAACACGAAAGCGTTGATGCATATATTCGTGGACCATCCTGCATCGGTCAATCTATTCCGGACATATCATTGGTATGTCGGCATAGATTCCACGTACAAAACCAACAGGTATGTTACTTTATAAATACTTTATTAGTATGAATCTTAAATAGTGTGTTTGATTAAGTTAAGTTTTATGTGATTATATTTTTTTGTCTTCTTGGTCTCATTTGCACAGGTACAAGATGCCGTTGGTGGAGATGATTAGGATGACGCCGTGCAACCAGAACTTCCTAATTGCGTATGCGCTCATCAGGGACGAGAAAGAGGCCAGTTACGACTGGGTTCTACATAAGTTGAGACTTCTGATAGGCCAAGACGTATATCCTAATGTGGTTGTCAGTGACAGAGAGTTGGGTTTAATCACTCCTATTCAGATGCATTTTTACGAATCAGCCCACTTACTCTGCACGTGGCACATCAACAAGGATGTGGAAGACAAAGCCTACAAACTCTTTGGGAAAAGTAAAAAATTCTCGCAGATGTTCGCGCACGGTACGTTCAAAAAAATTGCCGATGCCAGTACGTTTGATGCCTACAACGATGTCGTTGCCGAGATGCGCGCAAAATACTCGAAGAATAAATAGGTGGTACGGTATGTGGAGAACACATGGTTAGGGCACAAGGAGAAGTTTGTGAAAGCTTGGACCAACCGTGTAACATATTTTTGAAACACAACTTCCTTTAGGGTGAGAGTGCCCACTCTGTGTTGAAGCAGTGGCTTCACACGTCCACCGGCGCACTCGATACAATTTGGCAGAAGATTCATAAGCAGATCGATTCTCAAGTGACTGAAATTAGGTACATACTGCAATTTTTAAATGTGTTATTATATTACTGCATTAATTATAATCTAATGTTATGTAATGTATTATCAGGTCGGCGCTTGAGGCTTCGAGATCTAAGAAGAGTACTTCGTATAAGGGAATCCTTTTCGCGAGCGTGATACTGAGGGTCTCGCATTATTGCTTGAGTTTATTGGACTCTGAGCTTACGAGGATGCATGACTTGAGCATCGAAGTTTACGACCGCTGCGGCTGTGTATTGCAACAGACTCATGGACTTCTTTTTGCCTGTCTGCTCCATACGGCATATGCTTTTGGTCATCCGATTGATCTCGGAATTATTCACCCGTTCTAAAGAATGCTACAGATGTTAGAGCCAGGTAATTTAAGATTAATGTTTTATTTATATTTTCTACTTGCTATTTCAATTTTAATTACAATTTATGTAATTAAAGTACATTATTTGGTTTAATTCATTGAAGTTTTTATCATATACTTGTAGGGACGGGTCACCAAAGCCAGGCGAGCTAGGGTTTGCATGGTCAGATGCGGAGTTCTTTCGGACGCTTGTGAATGAGGTTGAAGCTGGCGTTCCCGCGACGATGCGGTACATGAATCAGTTCATGTACAATCATCTTTACCCAGACCAACAGGATTATGCGGAACCTGAGGTTAAGGAAAACCCGCGAGGTCGTCCCAAGAAAACTAATTCAACTAAGCGTAAACCATCTGCTCGGGAGTACAAAGATAGATCGCGAGGTCGGAAATCGAGCCGTACGACCACTTCTTCGCGTGGACAGACAAGCTCGTCTTCCCAACAGTCGCAAGAGGCACCAGGTGATCTATATTTTTTTTTAATATAGGTGAACGTTAATTAAAGTATTTATATAATTATATAATTTGTGACGTGAAATTATTATGATATTGCAAATATTAGACCGACAAATATATTTGATTTTACACAGTGGCAAAATATCCCCGGGTTTATGTTGGACTACGTAGTGAGTTACCTGAATGTGGAGGCAGATGAGAACTGTGGATTTCGGGTCATTGCGAGTTACGTGTATGGTAACCAGAAGTACTGGCCAGTCGTAAGAGACAACATTGCGAATGAGGTCCATACCCACCGTACCTTGTACGACTACATCTATTTTAGGGATATCGACACCGGACTCGGTCGAATAAGGTGGGACGGGGGCCCTTGTGGACCGACTCACTAGTTCGAAGTTTCGCAAGATCTCTACCCTATTACAACACTATTTAATGCGGTTGTCGTTTTGTTGAGCTCTGGTCTGCGAGGTGGGCAGCACGACATGTTCAGCTGCACAGTGTTGCCACTTTGTGCACGATCATCGGCTAGAGGACCATGTCGTGAGATTGTCATGTGTCATCTTGGTAGCAACCCACACTACATTCGTTTAGATTTGGCTCCTGATTGTCCATTACCTCCTATTCATAGCATGTAGTTCACTCACCGAGATGAATCGGTTGTGGGTTGGGAGGATCAGTACCAGGCTAGGTTGCGATTGTCTAGACCTTATTGAATAACAAAAGAACGATATTATTCATTTGTGGTATGACGCTTCTCATTCAACTTAAGTTTAGCAATAAATAAAAAAAAACCATTCAACTTAATGATTTACAATAAGAAAAAAAAAAAAACTCATTCAACTTAAGTTTAGCAAATAAAAAAAAACATTAGTTTGAATGGTTTATATACTAAAAATGAAAAAAAAAGTGCCATTAATGCGATTTCGATTGCTTTGTACACGAACGTATGTTCCCACGCTTCGAGACAGGCTCGTTCTCCTGAGTTGACCCATCGGGACTCTCAGAAGAACGAGCCCGTCTCGAAGCGTAGGAACATACGATCATGTTACAGAGCAATCAAAAATTGCATTAATGGTACTTTTTTTTTCATTTTTAATATAAACCATTCAACTTAATGTTTTACAAATAATAAATAAAAAAACCATTCAACTTAATGTTTTACAATAATAATAAAAAAAAAAAATATTCATTACATCAATATTGGGCATTGTCGTAATCCAACTTAAACTTAGCTTATTCTTCTTGGACTTGCGCCGCCACCGGACATTCACATCCCTGCTGCCAAATCAATGTAATGCTAAAAAGACGGTCCATCCACTAAAAAAATTGAAGAATAAAAAGATATTTCTGAAATTTATTAAAAAAAAAAATTATTGCAATGAAATAACATTAATTAAAATTTAGTAAATGACTTACATAGGCAATATTGGCACACGTAGGGACCTCGTTCTCGTCCGACAGCTCCTCGCCCATGACAGTCGGATGGGAAACCCGACCGTACCACTGCAAGTACTCCTCAGTCGCCTCCTCGCGATCATGTGTCGTGCGGGTGAACATACTGGTGTTGTAACTGTGCGAAAACGGGAACTGGGTCCAGGCACATACTGCACCAGTTTCAGAATGCTCAACTCTGTGGTTCCTAGACTCCCAAGCATGTACTGCACTGATTGGCGGGTATATAGGGGGAGGGACAGTCTGGACATACCCCAACTGACGCAGAAACCGCACAAGCAAGTACGACTCGACAATATCGCAGTATCGAATCAATCCGCAATAAAGAGTCCTCCGCTCTATCGCATCTGGGCTGGAGCTGCCGTATGGCAACCATTGCACCTGTTCACAGTTGCATAAAATATTTATAAAAATAATTATATTAATTTAAATAACGGGTAACTAAATTTTAATAAAATAACTTCACGTACATCGAAGGCAGTGAGTCTGTCAAGGCACCGACGGATGGCTGTGAGCCGATCGTCTGACCTTGGCGCATTCTCTACGCTCCACGAGCGAGATCGTACGTCGCAGTCAGGACCGATGGGTAGACGCCCCTGGGGTCGAAAATCGGGGAAATACTCATATATCCAGGACTGCAGAAGAGTCAAGCAGCCCGACAGTCCACTGGAGTCCCCTCGGCTGGCAATACCTAGCTCTCTGTACAAGTATGCCAGCATAGCTGATCCCCATGAGTAACCCCCAATCATATCAAAGCCGTTGAGCACCTCGTGCGGGAGCTTGGGGTTCACTCTACTACCACTCTTGTCGACGAACAAGGTGGTAGCCAACATCACCCACATCCAGGCACCCGCCTCATCCTTATCCGTTCGGCCTTTTCCCCTTAATGCCTCCACAATGGAGGCTTCAGTCACTAAACCGCGCTGCCAGAACAAATTCTTGAGTTCAGCCTTGGTGACCGAAAGTATCATCATGCAGAGCCAATGGCAGACGTCTGAATTCGGGTCCTCAACGACCACGGCTCCCTTCACAGGAACATCCAAAATGGCCCGGACATCGTGCAGCGTGATGCTCATTTGACCAAAAGGCAGGTGAAACGAGTTAGTATCCGGCTGCCATCGCTCCACAAACGCAGAAAGCAGTGGAGTGTCCAAGTGGCTGTGCATGAAGTCCACCAGATGTGACAGCTCGGTGTCTTCGACAGAGCTTTCGCATCAAGAGACATATTATCACGCCAATCCCTCAGATTCTCGAGCGCTCTCAGTCTGTTATGGCATTTCAACAGCCCCCTAAACTCTCCCATCAATGGGCCCACCGGCCACTGGGGATGACACTGGAGGCGACGTTCCCTAGAAAGCTAGGGATGACACTCCCATCAATGGGCCCACCGGCCACTGGGCCTTTAACGATCCAGGGTGCATCATCATCGGTCCTAGCTCGTTTGCTAGTACCTGCATTACAATAGAACATATCTGTATATATAGACTTGCTGGCAGATGCATTAAATAAAATATATTTAATAAAACATATTTCATAAGTTTCTCGCTCTTTTTTTCCAATTAATGTAGAAACGTTACATTTTACATTAATAAAATATAATGACAATTTTAAACTAATTTATTATGTAACATTACTACTAATTGATTATAACAATAATAAAAATAATTATAATAATTTTCTAACTAATTAATTGTATAGTTCCTCTAAATTACAAAATAATTATATTGTAGTAGAGGAGCAGGCGATAATACTTTCTAACAGTACCGATAATTTCTTATTATTAAGTCAAATTATTTTATGTTAAACAACAATAAATACGTAAATTATTTACCTAATGAGGATGCAGCGCTGCCAAAACGCCCCCCCCCAGCCTGTCGTTAAGGAGAAGGCTGTGTAGGACAAACAACCTGTACCGGACGAACAGGCTGTACAGGAGGAACAGGGTGGCTAGGACCCGTAGGCTGTGCGTGGTCCTGATCATCTGAAGAGTCGTCCTCGTCATACTCCTCTGGACCCTGCTCCCTCTTGCCGTACGACTCATTCCCTGCGTGGTGAGGAAAACAATATCCCCGCTGATCGTACGGTCCTGGTGCCGGGGGCATCGAACTGCCTGCCTGGCCAGGATAATAATATCCATGCTCGCCGTACGGTATGACTCCGGAGAGTCGCGAAGTGTCTGCCTGGCCCTCAAAATGATGTCCCTGCGGACCATCTCGTACTGGTGCAGGGGGTCTCGAACTTTGGCTAGCCAGACGAATCTGTACCCTCCGAGCCTGATTGATCATCGCCTGTTTGTCCCGACGAACGAACGCATTGACACCCCGACTTCTAGTGTGTCGGGTGCCAGAACCATCATAATAGTCATCGAACGCTTCGTCGTCGTCCCTGGCAGAAGATTGTCCAGGTCTGCTAACACCTGAATCAAAAATATAATTAGTAATTTTTTCATATGTAATAATTATTGTAATAACAATTAAAATAGACTATAATTAATTTTTTGTTTAATTTATAAATTTTATTATTATAATTTATAATTATTATTATAATTATTATTATTGTAATTTATAATTATTATTATAATTAGTATAATTAATTATAATTATTATTACAAATTATTATTATTAATTATAATTATTATTATTTATTATTATAATTATTATAATTAATTCTAATTTATAATTATTATTATGATTATTATAATTAATTATAATTATTATTACAAATGATTATTATTAATTATAATTATTAATATTATAATTAATATTATTATAAGAATTTATAATTTATAATTATTATTATTATAATTTTTAATTATTATTATTATAATTTATAATTGTTATTATAATTATTTCTAATTTATAATAATTATTATATTATTATTATAATTATTTATAATTTTTATTATAATTAAAACTATTATTATAATTATTATTATTATAAGTATCTTTAATTTATAATTATTATTATAAAAAAAGTTAAAAGAGTGTCCGGCCTGCTCGTGACCGGCCGGCGGGGCCGGTCCGGTTTGGTCCGTCCGGCCCCCGATGCCGCGCCATTCAAAAATTTTTTTTTTGAAAAATTATTTCGAAAGTAAAAAAGAAAAATACCTTGCTAGAGAAGAATGCTTTGCTGAGGCTGTATGATTTTTTCGACATTTTTTCGGATTTTTCGGTGCTCGAATCGCTCGTTGAAAGTTCGAGAGTTTAGGGAAATATAGAGTTTAGAGAGATAGAGATAGAAAAAAGGGTTAATGGCAAATTAGTAAAAAGGAGAAGGACAGTGTTAGTAATAGTGGGCGGTGAATAGTAAATGAGTTTTTTTAAAATAAAAATAAAATAAAAATCGTTGAGAATAAAAGGGGAAAAAAAACCCTAATCCCGTCTATTCAGTTTCATTTTTCATCCTCGTATGCATCTTTCTCGCTATAAATACATACTCGTGCAACCCATCGAATTTTTTCTCTATATTCCTTCTCGAATTTTCTGTCTGTCTGACACTAAATCTAATCGTCAATTTTCGAGCATACAAGGAATTGAACACAGAGGCGCTCTGTATTGTTGCCGATCTTATCGATCTATTACAGGTGAGTTATTGCTGTCCTAATTCCTTTTTTTTTTTTATTTTTTTTTTCTTTCTTGTTGTTGTTGTTGTTATGATAGATCGCCTTGCTATATTTGTGGCGGCGTTCTGCTTGTTCATAATCGTATTGTTTAAATTTTTATTTGTTCAGTGACTTGACTATATTAATTTAGGTAGGGGCACCTGAAAGTCTTCTTCTGTTTTTCTTTTTTGGTGATTTGTTTGGTGCTCGGTACGGAAATTTATTCTGATATGATTTCTCAATTGGTGCTTCGATTTTCTGATTGATTGATTGATCTGTCATCTTGTGATGCCTTAATTTTTCGTTCTGATTAAAATGGTAATCGAGCTTCTTCTTATTTTTTTTTTCGAGAATTCTACATTCACAAAAAATTGAATTGGATTATATGTGGTGGTGGTGGCAGTGGCTATGCTAGGAACAATTGGTGTATCACTGATTATTTTTGTAAGAGTTATGGCCTAGCTAGAGTTAATTTTGCATCCTTACATTCGAGGATTCTGAAAGCAGAGGTGTATTGTTGTTTGACCAAGTGATGATGAGATATTTCCATCCTGTCATGTTTTTTGCATGGGTGGTGGAGTTTGGAGGATATTACAGCAATTTTTTGTTTGTGTGCTGTGGAACAATCATGCTAAGGTGAAACAGATGGGTAAAGGTGATTGTGGATCAGGAATTGCTGCATGATTGAAGGCGTTTTCAGTAATTGGTGCAGTGTGTGGGAGATTGGTGGCCTAATATCGAAAAGGACTAATGCCATGCATAATTATGGAAAAAAGAAAAAAAAAGAAAAGAAAAACAAGGTCTCTGTTAGACCTCTTATTTATCGTAATAGTCATGATATGGTCACTCGTAGTGTGAGAAACATGTGGAGATCCTTGTATCCAATCTGGATTTCTGATTAAATATTCCATGTGAAGGAGGTCATTGGGAATTCTGAACAGTCAAATCAAGATATTGTTCTGCACTGCGTTGAAGAAGAAGAAGATACGAGACTTTGGATCCTTGTAATTGGTCTGAAGTAGAGAAATTGTTGGATGAATTATTTCAGAACTGATATCGTTGAAAATTGTTGTGATATAGTTGTTGATTATTGGCATGCAGCATTTGAAACTTATTCAGCTAGACGTTGCACTTGTAAGAAGATGCTGCTTGCATCTATTTTGTAATGAAGTTTGAGTATTTGCCTTTTTACTTTTTTCCCCCCTCATAACAGTGGGTTTTGTATATTCAGTGACAAGCCAGATATATTTTAATTCAATTCTTTCTTAGATCTGAAAGAGAAGAATTTCGTTTACAAAGAGCCGTTTCAGCTTCCGTAACTACTTAGGAGAATTGGAAGTTATGGGTGTTGCCTTTGTCTTTCCTTTGTACTTCCAACTCTTCACATTTGTTAGTCCCTTTGAAACTTTGATATTCCGACAAAGCATCTTTTCATTCATTACGTTGTACTCAGTAAGCTCTTAGTTCTTATCTTCATCCTCCTCCTTGTGCCGTAATTCCATTGTTGAGAAAATTTTCAATATGAGAAACTGAATAATACAATATGCTCTTTTCCCATTCTCAGCTATTGATTGCTAATACTACTTTTACCCTCTCCTTCAATTGCAGGAATTACTTCGTTTTCCCCATCTAAGGATAAATGTCTCCGTCTTCCAAATCCAAGTCAAAAGACAGAAAGGCCGGGAAGGAACCTCCAAAGGCCTCCTCAAAGCCTTCCCTTCACATCAATAGCAGCATCTCCGGAGCCCCGGCCAGCGGTTACAACCCCCTTTCCGGAACATTCCACACATTCGACACCTCGCCCATCCCCACATCCACCCCTCTCCCCACCAACACCCGTTTCCGCAACATGGACGAATTAGACGACCCCAACCCATCCCTTAACGGCACCGAATACGACTCCATCTCCAACAACGGCAGCTGGTCCGGCGAGTCCGAGGACCACCGCGAAAAGCCTCCCCATCCTCGCGCGGAACCGTCACCAGTCCCCGGCGCCGACAACGACAAGCGGGAGAAAATCCGGCTAAAAAACGAGCGCAAGCACCAGCGCCAGAAGGAAAGGCGGGCCCAGGAGCTTCACGAGCGGTGCACCGGCTACCTCATGTCGAGGAAGCTGGAGGCCCTTTCCCAGCAGCTCGTGTCCATGGGCTTCCCCCAGGATCGGGCCATGATGGCCCTCATCCTAAACGAGGGCCGTGTGGAGGAGTCTGTCGCGTGGCTTTTCGAGGAAGACAATAATAACAACAACAGGCAGGAGGCGCAGAGTCTGTATAATGGGAATTTGAAGATCGACATCTCGGAAGAGGTGGCCCGCGTAGCCGAGATGGAGGTTAGGTACAAGGCGTCGAAGCAGGAGGTGCAGCGGGCTGTGGTCTCGTGCGAGGGTGACCTCCAGCTGGCGGACGAGATGCTGCGTTCCCAGAAAGAGGAGGAGCCTCCAGCCAAGCTCGAGCAAGGGAGGGAAGAGAAAGATTTCAACTACAAGCAAAATCCGATTAGAATACAAGCAAAAGCCACGGTGCCTGTATCTTCCCAGCAGAGGAGGGAAGAGAAAGATTTCAACTACACCAAACCTCCACCGACTGTGGGTCCCTCAGCTGAACCGGTGACCAAAAACGTGCAGGTGCTGAAGGTTCCACCTAAACCGGGCACAAGTGCAAGTGTGGGATCTCATAATAATAGTACTACTAATAATAACAAAATCCACAGTAATAGTAATCCTTCTACTTCGATTCCGCTATCATCATCATCGCCTTTGCTGGCCAAGACAGAGGCGCCTCGTTTCTTAGCTGTTGGGAACGAGTTGAAGAGTTTGCAGCTCGGTTCGGTTAAGGAGCCAGTCGTGGTAATGCAGAGACCTCAACCTCAACAACCTATCTCTATCCCAAAGCAAGCTCCACCTCAATCCCCGAGCACGAGCCTTGGGTCATACGAGACATTGAGGCCCAACAGGCTCGACCCATCTTTTGCTGTTGCTAGAGCTGTTAATCCCGAGATTGTCAGCTCAAATCCGATGTACAGCCAGTTTCATTACCAACAGCAGCAGCAGCAACAGCAGTATGTGTCCAATAGTAGAGGCCTTGCAGCTGCCTCGTCACTAGGCCTGTTTTCAGGAGTAGGCACAAATGGGGGGTATTCTGGGTCTGTTGACTGGAAAACGGGTGGGTCAATATTGCATTGTGATTACGCAAACGTGGACTGGAGTTTGGACCGTGGGTTGTTGCCCCAAAGGCCCAATGGGCTGTGGCCCCGGACAAGCTACCCTGTGCAGAATAATGGTTATGGGGTGAGGTCGGGCATGAGGCCTGTTTTGTCTGGTGGAGTGTCCCACGGATTGCCTGAAGGGGATTCAAGTTCTTGGGAGTGGAGTTCGCCGTTTGAGGAGAAGGATATATTCAGTCTGCCAAGACAGTATGTCTCGTCACCTTCTCTGTAACATTTGAAATGTTTCTTTTTTAATAATAAAACGATGGATGGCGGACGACTTGCTGTTTGGATGTTGGCGCTATTTTTTTATGCTTTTTTATTTTTTCTGCCTTTGTTGGGTTGTGAATTACCAAATCTTTATACTGGGAAGAAAGGGTCGTGTTTTTATTTGGTTTATTTGTGTTTTGTTTACTCTTTTAGGAACTTGCGGACCAGGATTTACAATCAATTCTAGACTCACAGGCAATCCATTTTTCTAAACCAAAGGACCTCAAGTTTAGAAAAAAACAGAACCCACAAACCTCGTAAAGGAAAAATATTTCTGGTGATCTTTTTTGTGTGGACTTTTTTAAAATAGACACGTTCAAAATGTATTTATGAATAAGAGGAAATGTTAATCGTTGAGTTTTTAATATTACTGGATTACACATTTCGATTTCACTTCCATTGGACAGGGAAAAGCACTTATGATCACCATAACTTGATCTGTTTCCCTAAAAGTTGCACCGTGTAAAGAGATTTCTATTTTGAAAGTGTTAACATATACACTTTTCAGTGTGCTTCATTACACGTCCTGTGCCGCTGTCGACTGTCGTGTAGCATTGAATATAGCTGCTTTTTTTATAAACTAAAAATGTACAAATGACACTCATACGTGGGGTTTTACGAGAGCATGTTATTGATCCTGCAGTTGATACACAAGTCCAGATGAAGCAAATGATAAGAAACTGCAATAGTAACAAAAAATTGATCTTGAGCATAAATTCCTGCAGTTGATACACAAGTCCAGATGAAGCAAATGATAAGAAACTGCAATAGTAACAAAAAATTGATCTTGAGCATAAATTAGCAAAAATAATGGAAATTAGCTGCTTTCATCATGCATGTAAAGTTCTCTTATTACAAACAAAAGATCATCAATTCAATTTGCTCCCTAGTTGGCGGCTGTGGAGTTTGTTTGGGATTGTATAGACAAAAGCTGTTTAGGGAAGGTCTTCAAACACTAAAAAGAAAACTATTCGTTGGCTTTTTTATGAGAATTTTATTTTACTTTTTTGCCCATGAACGCACACTACCTTATCTTGAGCTTGCAGACACTACCTTATCTTAATCACAAGCACAATGATGTAACACCACTACGAGCACAAGCAAAACTGATTGAATCAATCTTGAGTGGTATTTTACCTTGTACCAAGACATCCTTGTACTCATCGCCATCATAGACGAATTGAGGGGGGGTCTGGAGGACGCATACACACTATAGTGCTTCCAATGCATAACAGTGAAGTAAAAGTTAACTAAATAACCTACAATAAATTTTGAAGAAGAATGAATAATTTTGAAGATCCTCATGTTTTGCTGCATCACTCATGTGAATATAATAAATTAAAGGCCTGATCTGGCTATCACAAAGATTCTCTTCAGCGGAAGAAAATAGCAGTTTACTGATAATATAAATTTGAGGATGTATTGACTAGTTGAAAAAGTATGTCACTGATGGTTTCAAGTGTTGGATTTTAGGCGTACGAACCTAGCGTACACGCAACGGAATTTTAAAATTTTCTTACCAACAACGAAGATCCGGCTATAGCTATTCGATACGATCCTAGATCGCGTGAAGGATACACGAAACTTACAATTTAAGCTTTGTCTTCAATTATGGTATCCACGCAATCTAGATCCCGGTGCACGATCCAACGCAATGAATCCTTTCTAGTGAAACACTAGGAATCTCCAATCAGAAAGGCAGAGAGTGTTTTGTTCTTACGGCGTATTTTTTTTTTTTTTTCTTTCATCTAATGATCGTTGAAGACTACCATGAGATAATGACCTAGTTATAATTAGGTTAAACGTAATTATATGGACTTTAGGAAAGCCTTGCCCAATAGGTAATTGGACCCAATCCAATTAATGATTTAATTAAGTGTAAGTCCAATTTAACTTAATTTAATATTTTCTATCTAATAGAAAATAATCTGATTACTCAAAAATAAATATTCCAATCTAATTGAATATTTAACACTCTTGATTCACTCTTAGCCGGAAACTAGATTGCATATTGTGTAACCCTATAGGCCTTCATATACTGACATAAATCTAATTTATGATCCTTACGATACTCCTAGACTGCGTCGAAGGACGAACTCAAAATATGAAGTACGTTTACATAGACAAAGCAAACAAACATTTGGTGTAGAATTCAATAGTGATACGGTCCCTTCATTCGCGAACCACTCGATTACGCTTAGGATTTGAGCGTGTGTCTATCCAAACAGCTTAATCATTTTATCTCATCTCACTGGTTGATTTTATCAATTATATTTGAGCACCATTTCAAATATAATCACGTGCATTGGCCAATGACTTTATCAACCCAGTATAGAGAAAACTAATGTCCTCTCGAAACTATATTCGAGGAATGAATCCTATCTTGGCTCAACTACCAATTCCATGTATATCGTGATCAACCCAACACAAGCCCGTATCTACCCATAAGGGCGTAACCTTTGGACTAGGTCTAAGTAAATCACTCTATACATGAATTGCGTATTGACCTCAAGTCAAAAGACTATTACACCATTCCACACACCGATACTCCCATTGACACATAAACAAATGGTTTATCAGTAGGGTATACCAATACTCTCCAAAGTATCCATGCGTCTATCACGAATAACTATTATTCATAGCAGTGAGACATACTATATTCTCCAGGGTAAATAATTTTTTCCAACCTGTACTATACGTGATTTTCGAATTTTCAACCTAAAGTATTTTTTGTTATAAAATGCAACTTGAACTACATATACAGTCATTATTTGCACGCTCGACCACATCTTGATCATACACGTGTCCTTTTTTACAGATGACCGGACGGTCAAAAAGTAGTCGAGCGTGCAAATAATTGTATATATGTAGTTCAGGTTGCATTTTTCAACAAAAAATACTTTAGGTTGAAAATCCCAAAAGCACGTATACTACGGGTTGGAAAAAACTATTTACCCTATTCTCCAAGAATGTGATGCAAACCACATGTCAATCTATTGCGTATCATTAATATCCCTTTCTTAATGATCATCGATTGAGGCGATTTGAGAGCTATACTTTATCAATTAACATCCCACTCTGTTAATGACAGTATCAATTCAAGGGAGCAATTAATTAATAAATTGCAAACAATCAAACAAATATTTAATTAATTGCAGTACCATAATTATAATCCAATGTAATTATGAATGTGATCATGTATATATGTCCTCAAAAAGATTGTCTCTAGGACACATATACCAACAATCTTCCACTTGAACTAGAGGCAATCACCAATGTATCTAATACACATTTTCTCAAAATGACTATTGTGCTCAACTATGCACAATGGTTTGGTGAACGAACCATTCAAGTAATGTCCAGCTTGAACACGTTCTAACTTATTTTTCATTTATAAATTATCTCTAAATAAATGATAGCGCCTTTGTACATGTTTATTTTGTTGTTGGATCTTGGTTCCTTTGCCCGTGCAAGCGCACCGTTTTATCATAATATGTAGATATTAGATAAATGGCACTTGGAACTACCCCTAGTTCATTTAAGAACTCATGTATCCAAATAGCCTCCATAGGGTTTTAATGCAACAATGTGCTTAGCCTTTGTGGTTGAATTCGCAGTGGTTTATTGTTTGGAACTATTCCAACTCACTGCCTCATCATTGAAATGAATGTAACTATTAAATCATTATTCCCACCATAGAGTAAAATATATTCTTTAGTCCATCTAATGTACTAAAGAATAGTCTTAACAGTCTTCCAATGCATCTCCCCAGGATTTTATTGGAATTTGCATGTGATACTAAGTGTATAAGCCATATAGACCTCGTACATATCATAACATGCATGATAGACTTCATCGCATCGCATAAGCATATGAGATCTTCTTCATGCGCCCAAGTTTGGCATCAACAGAAAGACAATCTTTCTTTGCCAACTTGATGTCATGACCATTGGAATATTCCCTTTTGTTAGAATTTTTCATGGAGAAACACTTCAGTACCTTGACTATACACGTGGACCGTGAAAATTCTAACACTCTATTAGGTCTATCTCGATAGATCCTAATTTCAAGAGTATAGCAGGTTTCACTCAAGTCATTCACAATGAAAGTACTTGATAATCAATCTTTCATGGACTGCAGGTGAGGAACATCATTTCATTATCAATATGTCATATACATATATGATAAAAATAATATTATCCTCATTGCGTTTACTATAAACGCATAGATACTTTTTACTTCTCACAAAGCCAAACAATTATGTAACTTTGTAGAAACAGACATTTCAGCTCCCAGAGGCTTGTTTAAGTCCACTATTGGACCTTTTTAACTCGCATAATAATTTTGACTTTGACTTCCATATAAAACCTTTAGGTTGTATCATATATACATCCTCCAGTTTCCCATCAAGGAAAATGCTTTTAACATCCATCTATCAAATATCATAATCATAGTATGCAACTATTACAAGTAAAATCTAAATGCACTTAATTTTGGCAATTGGTGAAAAAGGTCTCATCATAGTCAATGCTTCCACGTTGACTATTACCTTTATCAACCAATCTGGCCTTATAGGTTTGTACTTTTCCATTTGCATCTGTTTTCTTTTGAAAACTCATTTGCATCAAATAGGACTAACCCAATTGGCAAGTCAACCAAGTTCTAAACTTGATTCGTGTATATCGAGTCCATTTATGATTTTATGGCATAAAACCACCTCCCTGAGTCCATGTCTTACATAACTCAGTGTAGGTCCTAAGTTCATCCTTGTTAGGAATCTCCACATTGTCGTGATCATCCAAGAGGAAAGACAATATAATTGGTTCACGACGAGTTCTACTCGACCTACAGAGTTCAATATTTTGTGTTTGTTGTTGTACAATTTTTTTTTTCGTGAAGAGGTTCTTGCATGTTGATATGTTCAACGATTGGAGGGTTCACAAAATCACATTTTCATGC